CCTCGGCTGGGGGCGGCCCCTGCTCGGCGGCGGCGGGCGGCGGTGGCGTCTCCGTGCTGCCGCCCCTTGCTCCCCTCCCCTCCACTGCCCCCGCCTTTAAATTTGACCGGCTCGTCGGACGGGCTGGTCGATCCCGCGCCTCACATACGCTATGGCACCTACGGCCCCACGGCTGGCCCCGTGTGGCGCCGCGAGCGAGCCCGCCGCCCCCGCCGCCTCCGCAGCCCCCTTCGCTGCCGCCGCCGCCGCCGCCCCCCGGCTGCCCACCAAGACGCTGTGCGCTGTACAAGGCGCCCGCCCCCACTCTCTTCTCCCGCGCTCCTCCGCCTTTCGTTCCTTTCCTTTCGCGGGCGGTCGGCAACCCTCGCCGCGCGTGGCCCGCGCTGTATTCTCATTTTAAAGTACATTTCTCGTCGTGCCATGAAAAGTTTGGTCTTCTTCTTCTCTGGCCGTAAATAAGATGTGTGTTTGACGCCGCTCTGTTGTCTGTTGCAGGTTCGCCAGCGGGCCGAGCCACGGGCCCACATCGAGGGCCGCGGCGACCACGGAGCGTAGCCACGCCACCCAGCATGGCCATGGATTCGCGGGAGTTGGACTCCCCCCTCGCCGACCTGGACGGCCTGCCATGCGACGTACGCGACCTGCACGATGACCTCCACATCCAGGCGGTGGTCGGCTCGGACCGCGACTCGCCGGGCTCCCTCAAGCGCGCGGGCTGCGACCTGGGCGCCGACGGCGACCTGGGCACGGCCAAGAAGCGCCGCAAGCAGTCCAAGCCAGTGCGCATCGACGCGGGCGAGGGCGCGGCCGCGCTCGGCGACGCCCTGGCCGAGGTGCTGGGCGACGTCGTCGACAACGGCGGCGACGCCCGCGTCTCGCCCAGCCTCGACCTGGAGGTGCAGGTGCACTGCCAGACCGAGGGCGAGGCCCGGGACGAGATCCCGCTCAACCTGTGCAGCCTGCCCAAGACCGAGCCTTCCTCGCCAACCGGTCTGGATGACTTTGGCACCTTCCCGACGCACCCCGGGCTCAAGTCGGTGTCGCCTGGCGGCGGCCTCGACGTGGACCTGGCTGTGCAGCACCAGCAGTCGGAGAGGATGGCCATGAACAACTTCTGGGGCATGTCGCCACCTTTTCTCTACCCCATGATGGCGCCCCAGTCCGAGCAGGGCCTCTCTCAAGGGATGCCCCAGGGCCTCCAACAAGGCCTTCCTCAAGGCCTACAACAAGGCCTACAACAGGGCCTACAACAGGGCCTACCTCCGGGCCTACCCCAGGGCCTTCAACAAGGTCTACCTCCGGGCCTGTCGCAGGGCCTATCGCAGGGCTTGCCGCAGGGCCTGACGCAGTCAAACAACCATCAATCTCGGTGTTCTCCTGATAACCGGACTGGCTCGTGTACAATTTTCAATCCTGATGCCTACTGTGAGCTGTGCAACAAGGAGTTCTGCAACAAGTACTTCCTCAAGACCCACAAGGCCAACAAGCACGGCATCTTCACTAACAGCCCGAGCCAGGTGCCCACCCAACAGCAGCAGCTGCAACAGCTGCAGCAGCAGCCGCAGCAACCGCCGCAGCCGCCGCAGCCGTCGCCGCAGCAGCAGCAATCCTCCCCTAGTAGTAATGACACATACCAACACGGGCTTTTGCCCCCTAGAACGTTATCTCCTAATAGCGATAGTCATGTGAAACTTAGTTCCTCGCCCTTAAGGCTGCAAAAGGACTTAATAAGCGCGAAGCACGGTAAGACCCTGTTTCAGAGAAAGATTAAAGTGAAGTCGTTCGGTTCGAACGGCGAGGATGTGTCTCTTCCGCCAGTAGTGAAGGTAGAGGACGAGTATTACGATACGGACATGGATAGGTTACTAAGTAGAATGTCGCCGCTGCAGTCGGCCGACGGCCTGCGGGACGACACGCCTGCCATCCTCAAGGCGGCCGTGCAGGAGGACGTGGGCGAGGGTGGCAGCGCGGGGGACTCGAACGAGTCGACGGGCATCCTGAGGAAGGAGGCGGTGCCGCCGCAGGAGATCCTGGACAAGCCCGTGTTCACGCCCGAGAAGATGAGGAGCCTGGGCGTCATCAACCCCGAGGCCTTCTGCGAGATCTGCTGCAAAGAGTACTGCAACAAGTACTTTTTGCGGACGCACAAGTGGAAGCGACACGGCATCGCGCCGCCCGAGGGCGAGCAGGACAAGCAGGAGACGCAGCGGCCGCCGGCGCCGTCCTGGCTGCAGCAGCTGCAGCAGCACGCGGCCCCGCTCAACCTCATCATGGAGGAGGCCACGAACCAGGGCGACGCCATCTGCAAGTTCTGCGGCCAGTGGTTCCCCTCGGAGCAGGTGCTGCAGGTCCACGTGGCCTTCGTGCACATGACGAAGAAGCAGGACAAGGAGGGCGGCGACCCGGCCGACATGCGGAAGGAGCCGCTCGAGGACAAGCGCGGCGGCGAGCGTAGCAAGCAGATGGCGCCCGAGCAGATCGAGTCCATCATGGACGACATGAAGAAGGTGCAGACGATGCTTTTCCAGCTCAACACCCTCAACAACCAGCTGCCCGGCGTGGCCGGCGAACAACAGGGCAAGCGGAGCCCGGGCGCAGCGGACGAGGCGCGGTCCGGCGAGAGCCCCGTCAACGGCGGCCTGCCGTGTGCCATCTGCAAGAAGACCCTCCCCGACAAGGCGGCGCTGCAGCAGCACGTCCAGGAGCAGCACTGGAGCGCGCCCATCAAGGTCGAGAGGGATGTGGACGTCACCCCCGTCCCTCCCGGGCGCGAGGCCGGCGCCGAGCAGCCGCAACAACAACAACAGCAGCTGCAGCAGCAGCCACAGCCACCGCCACCACCGCCGCCCCAGCCAGCCGAGCCCAAGCCGACGGCGCCTACCAGCAGCTACTGCGAGATCTGCAACAAGGAGCTGTGCAATAAGTACTTCATGAAGACGCACATGCAGCGCATGCACGGCATCGAGATCGAGAACGGCTCGCAGATCGGCGGCGTGGTGTGCGACATCTGCAACAAGGAGCTGTGCAGCAAGTACTTCCTGCGCGTGCACAAGCAGAACACGCACGGCATCGTGGACGAGACCAACGGCCCCCCGACGCAGGTGCGCGGCGATGGCGGCGCCGGCGGCCTGTTCAGCGGCAGCCACTTCCTGGACGCGGGCAACCAGGCCCTCAAGCCCACGGACCTGTCTGAGATGAGCCACCGCTACTTCACGCACTTCAACGAGGTGTGCAGCATCTGCAACCGCCGCTTCCGCAGTGTCAAGTGGCTCAAGGCGCACCTGATGAACGACCACGGCCGCTCCGAGTACGAGGCGGCCGCCGAGGCCAACGACCGGCTGCCCAAGCTGCAGCCCGGCCTGCACCCCAACGACCTGGGCGTGCAGCTGGGGCTGGGCCCCGGGCTGCTGCAGGGCCCGGGCGCCGCGGGGCCGAGGGAGCGCGGGCGCGGCGAGGGCAAGGCGAGGCACGGCCGTGCGCAGGACGGCGGCGCGCACGCGGCCAAGAACGGCAACCACTTCATGTCGAACCTGATGCAGGTGGCGGGCACGAGCAGCAAGGAGTACCGCTGCTCGTACTGCCCCTTCTCCACGCCCGTGCTCGCCTTCCTGTACGTGCACGAGAAGACGCACACGGGGCTGGCCTACATGCCCGAGCAGAAGCGCGAGCTGCAGTGCCCCATCTGCTACAAGACGTGCACCAAGCCCGAGCAGTTCCAGCGCCACCTGCTCTCGCACCAGTTCGCCGGGCTGCCCGGGCCCGGCGGGCTGCCCGGCGCGCTGTGGGACCCGAGGAACTCGGTGTACGCCGGCCACCACAAGGAGCCCAAGCGGGAGAAGCAGCTGCCGCCGCCTCAGCAGCCCGCCGCGCCCCGCGGAACCCCGGAGCGTGACGAGGACGGCGCCGACGTCGACGAGCGGGTGCGCTTCGCGGAGCCCGCGAGGCACCGGGAGGCGCCGGCGGAGGCCAAGAGGAGCGGCAAGTGTCCCAAGTGCGGCGGCGACCTGGCGCCAGGCGAGCGCTGCGCGGCGTGCGGGGGCGGGGGCAAGGAGCTGAGCTCGCTCCAGTCCCTCCTCAAAGAGACTGTCACGAGCGACGTGAAGAAGAGGCTGGAGGACGCGGCCAAATTGAATGACATCCCCGCCACGTACGCCGTCCCCAAGACGCAGGACTCGGACGCAGACCCCTTCATCATGCAGCCTTTCATTATCGAGGAGCCGCGGGGCGAGGAGGGCAGCCTCGGCGTCGTGGGCGGGGCGCCCCCGGTCGACAAGAAGTTCGTCCCGTCCCTTGTGTTCCTGCCCGTCAAGGAGAGACTGTCGCGGCCCCTGACTGCCTCTTTCACCCTCACCCCTGCATAGGCCTGGGGGTTGATTACTGTTGATCAGCTGTAGACTTATGTATTTTGTTTGTTTTTTTATTTAGTTTACTTACAAAGGTGCCCCGGAATGTGGGCATTCCCTTATGGATATTTTTTGTTTGTTTCGTGTTCTAGTCAAAGCTACCTAGTCAGTACGAGACTGGAATCTTAGTAAAAGGATTGATCTCGAGTTTCGAAAACGAAACTTAGAGGGTTGGGCGTATGCTGCCTTGAAACTGAACGTTCCTATTTGCCTTTATTGACTGTGCTCGTCTGAAGATAGAGCAGCCAAAGGTTATGTTCCTATGCGTAATATTATTCACGTGTACCAATTATTATTTTTGTAGCTTAAGTTATAAAATTTAGTGTTTTTCCTGTTCACTGTTGCTCTTTGTGCGTGAACGATGCCAGATTCACTATATTAGATATTGTTTGCCATCAGCTTAGCTGGGGTAATTTAAACTATTTGGAAAGTATTGTTTTTACGCGGGCCTATCCGTGAAATGTGATGTTTACAAAGTTCCTATGGGCTCTCTCAGCAAGAGAGTCCACCAGTTGCAAACGTACCGTTCATGCTCAAGACATTCGTTGATTTGTTGGGCACAAAATAAATGTATATTATGTAAGAGATGGTTTAAGTAATTTAAACAAATTTCAAGTCTACTCAGGGTTTACTAAATGAAAGTCAGTAGGCTTTTGCATGCAAAGTTAGGTAACTAATCAGATCTTTCTCACACATGAGACACATTTCCTGACGTGATTTTTTATGTGTTTGTTGCTGTTAGTTTTTGGATGCCCGATCTTGGGTTATTTGCCATTGTTCTGTAATTCTTCCGAATTACTTCAGTCAATCAAAAGAAAGGTACCACTAGATGTAATTTATTGTTGTTCAGAGTTGTTCCTGGGAAGGTGAGAGGCTTAAGCAGGGATACCGAAAGTAATGTAAGCACGTATATTGTATACAATATTTCATTTCCTATGATAAAGTTAATTGTGGACGTCGAGGAGCATAATGTTACTTATATTTCATATTTCAATGGGTATTATTATATATTCAAATAGCATCTTTTTATATGTAAGACGTGTATGGTTTTAGCATGGACGTGTGATTGTTTGCCTTGTAGATTAGGTTTATATATTATGAGGTACGGCTGTTAGCCGTGAAGTTCCTAATGTTGTTCAAATTATTTGCAATGTATGTTACGGCCCGGGTACGGTATTTTTATTTGTCTGTCTTTAGGTTCCGTAGTTAAATTTAGCTTAATAATTTAGTTTGTTCAATTTGTTCCACTTCTCAAAATTCGAACGCTTCTTCAAGTAAGTATCCGTTTAGTAGAGTAACTGGTTTCCAAAATATGTGTTGCGTCATGGTTGCATTTGTGCCCCCTATTTTTTTCTAACCACTCCTAGATAGTTAGTTTGCCACCAGGTGGCTGCGTCTGATACGGGTATAACGTCCGCTGTGCCGCCGGGGCGCGCTGGCGGGCTCTGAGGCCGGCGGCGCAAGACGTTTGGGACCCCCTCGAGTTTGCTTTTTGGTGGGCACGGTGAGATTACATCTGCTGACGTCACAGCCGTGACCACCCAAGAGCGGCACCCGGGCCCCAGAGCATGGAGTGGTTGGATCGTGTTCCTTATAGAACGTATCTGGTCATTGTTTCTAGTCTTATTATTCCGCACTCGTGCATAACAATTTACTTATTGTTGGGTTTGTGTGCACAACCCGGGCCACTCGTGTTACTACTGAGGATGAGATTTGGTTCCACGTCAAACCGTTTGATTGCGACAATCTAGTCATGTTAATCAGTCATTTTTCGTCTGGTGCAGAACACAAGCTTCTACAATTTAAAGTCAAAAAATATTCTAGTCTATGAAAGCATTTGACCTCTTGTGAGTCTCTAGTCGATGTAATGCACCGAAAAGTCAATTTAAATAATATGCTGGTCTTTAAGTGCTAGCCTCCTAGTTCTGGGTTTGACTTGGAACCGAATATGATCTTTGCACTGTCCAGAGTTACATTTAATTGGATGCCTGTTTTCGGCACATACGATAGGTTTGTGTGACCGATGATAAACGAATGGACTTTATTATGTTATTCTGATCCAGCTAATATTGTGGTATTTACAATTACGTACCTTCTTCCAAAGCAGCTGCAACTTGCATCCTCATTGCTTTGAATCTTGCGAACATATTTTTGTATAAAACCATTGCTACCTTTCAGTCAAATCGCACGTTTTGCTAAAGAGAATTTAGATAAATAAAAATAGACTGTGCTTAGGAGCTATTGTTATCGGGGATGCAAGGTTTGGATCTTTGTACTGAAGCAAAAGTTCCGCTTTGCTGCGTTAGATCAATAACGAAAGATATATCAAATCTATTATTGTTCCTTGATGAAATTTTAAATCTTATTTGGCTCACTACCCCATCGATTGTTTTTTCTGTAATTTTATGCGGAAAGATTAAGAATTTATAGCAGATCAAATATCCCATTCCGAGCCAACGTACACTGACTTGTAATGACAACTAAACGAAGACAAAAATTAAAGTTCCTAAATCAAAGATCTTTTGGTTTGTCCTCTATGATTTACCCCGTCTGAGCGCTCGGTTCACAAGTTCACATAACTTCAAGACATCTCCCGAACATAGACCTCCGTTTCACACACTCACACACAGGCACAACCCACATGGATAGTCACCCACACACATACACAGACCGCAATATAAGAAAATTCTGAAGGGGGAAAAATACTGAGAATGGTTTTCATCGAGGAGTCTGAGGCAGAAGTCTAAACTTGGGAAAGGAACGGCGGTGGGTTCGGAGCGAGGCATAGAAATCCTTATAGCGTGTTGTGAGGCGGTGGGGCGGGGGCCGCGGGGGCCCTCTCGGCCCACCCCCAGCCTAACTCTCCTCGCCCCCATACTCCGGCCACCCCCGCCCGTCCCCTCTCCTCATGTGAGTCGGGGCCGTTCCTTCCTTCGAAATATTGATAGTAAGAATAAACCAACAAATCCAACGCCTGGTGCCGCAATGCCATTTCTCTCTCTCTCCTCCTTTCCACCTCAATCATTCTCTTTCTCCTTCTCCGTCCGCCTCCTTCTCTGCGCCTCCCCCTACGCCTTATATTCCCTCCCTATCACTTTCTCTCTCACACATGCGAGGAGCGGTCGCTTTCGCTCGCACTCGTATACAAACGCGAGCGATATCTGAGACTCGGGCGCATGCGCGGCCACCCCCTCCAGCCGGGCTCCGCCGTGCGGCAGACAGAGATGGATTGGGAGTTTTGCAGCGGTGCGAGAGAGAGAGCCAGAGAGAGAGAGAGAGAGAGAGAGAGAGAGAGAGAGAGAGAGAGAGAGAGAGAGAGACGCGAGGCAGGGCCGGCAGGGCGTGCGTGTTGCGGGCGAGTGTGCGAGAGTTCAAACTTTCTGGAATGGAGGGCCGAAAAGAAAATATCGAAGGAACGGCACGAAAGAGAATATGAAGAAGACCGATGTATGAGTCTCTCTTCGCTGTTCTCACGCCGTCCTCGGGATCGCTCCTTCTCTCTCCCTTGTTTTTCGCAAGGCGCTTGCGCGCGCACCCGGGCGCGCGGCCCTGCACGGATGTGTGTGTATGTGTGTGAGTGTGTGTGAGTGTGTGTGTGTACGTGTACGTACGTGTACGTACGTACGTCTGTGTGTCTGTCTTTCCTCACTTGCGGCGATTGTCTTGCTGTCTACAATAGGTGCCTGCCAACCAGCGTACATGTGTCTGACAGCCACCCCCGCTCCCATTTCTCCTCCGCACTTTCTTATTCTTTCCTTCCTCGCCAAGCCTCCCCCTCCCCCCGCACACACTACTACGATATCTTACTCATCGGCCAAGTTTTAATTAAAATGTATCACTCCTTGGTTGAGTTGGACAGTTTCACCTCCCCGCCGTGCAGCAAAAGAGCCGTCGTGCCGAGCAGCAGCAGCAGCAGCAGCAGCAGCAGCAACCTCTCCGCCGCCGAGGTGATCAGGGCGATCGAGAGACCCGGGCGACATTTGTAAATGTTTGTCGGTCCCGCTCTCCGCAAGACGGCCGCGGAGTCATACGCGGAGAGAGAAAGGGGTTGGAGGCGGGGG